TAACATATACAGTTGATCAAGTAATAACCAAGTTTTGGCTATTCCTATTACATTGTGTATGGCTCCAATATTTTTGGCTCCAATATGGTGACTCACTTGAGGCCTAGGAGCACATACAGAAGGGTGTATTCAAATGTGAACATTTACCTCCTTGGGCTCACTCATCCAGTTATTTATCAATTCATTCACTCAACATATACTTATGTACAGTATAAAATATGTAAAAGTATAATGATTGCCTAAGATGCCCTTGGTGTTATTTTGCATGTGGGAATTAATTAGTGAAATGACATAGGAGGTGTCTACCACATAGGTTCACACTCCACTGAGAGAAGTTAGAATCAGGCAAGAGGGACAAACTGGAATGCTCTGAAATACTCCAACATATGGTGGGCAAGTGGGTAAGGAGAATCCAGAAAAAAAAATTAAAGGCCTGAATATAGAATAAATAGCTTCCATGAAAGTCAAAGGAAAAATTAGGAGAAAAAAGGAGTAAACAATATGTATATTTTGGAGAATTCAAATAATCCATAGGTTTGATATCAAGAAATTCATGAGTGATCCTGAGGAGAGCAGAATGTAATGAGTTTAGAAATGGAGAGATGAATGTGAGGATATGAAAGGACTATGAAAACCTCTTTCCAGAATCTTGGTTCAAAATGGAATGGTACAGGTTAAGGGAAGGATCTAGGCAAAGAAAGACTATAAAGATACATGAAAAGGAAAGTAGATCAGACAGGAAGCAGTAACACAGATAGAGAAATTAGTTTGGGACAGAAAGAAGCTCCAAGATAGAGACAAGAATGATTTTGAAGGTGGAGAAATCAGAAGTTGTTTAGAGAGTTGAAGCCTGTAGCTTTTTTAATTTTCTCAGCAGAACTGGAGGTGAAGTTATCTACTAAGAGGTTAAGGGTTGGTTTTGTGCTTGACTAAGAGGAGTGAGCCTGAAACAGTAACTCAGGGCAAGTGGAAGAGAAGATGATTAAGAATGAGAGAAAAGATTAAAAATGAACTATGCTAGAAATCAAATGAATTTTGAAAAATGCCATGACTAGAAATAACTTTCTTATGTCCCAGCTTTCTAATCCAGAAGACCCAAGCATGTACATGCCATTGCAACTGACATCTATGATTAAAGTCATCTATACATTTCCCCACAAGCTTACTAAAGGACACCAGAAACTGATCCTGTATTCAGGAACATCCCTCAAGATGCTGTAGTCCAAAGGGGCAGCCCCACAGAAACCAGCTTCTCTTGGTGCTTCAGCCTCTACCTCTGTTCCTCTTTCAGGCTCCAGAGGGTCTATAAGGGCACCAGTCTGACAAAATAAAATGAGGTTCTTTTATAAGAAGCCACCCTGCCTGCATGTTACCCTAGAATTAGAGACTATTCAGTCTTCTCTAAACTGTATGCAACCCTAGGTAACCTCTGAGAAGAGCTAAAACTTAGCACCAAGGAGCCTCAAATCTCTCACTGGGCTACAGAAGAACCTCTCTGTCCCCAGAAATAGTTGGGGTGGGGGCTGCTGTCAGATTAGGCTAGTTACAACAGTGAAGTCAGAGAAACCCTTTGTTTGGGATTACTCTGTTTTGGGTAAATAAAATAATTCCTGCCCATTATGAAAGGAAAGTTTGCAGGGAGTCCCCAAGAAATGAGCCGACCCAGGTTCAGTTCTGACTGACCATAAAGCTAGAATAACTCAGAGTTGAGAGCCTTAATCCTACCCACTGCCACATTGTACTGCACATACTTGGGGCTAACCCTGAGGCAAAGTCTACCTAGTAGAGTCCAAAAGTCTCTGGAAATTTCCTTAACATATATTAGGGTATTCAGGAAAGTGTTGTAAGAAACTATAAGATAACATTTGAGTATAAATATTGAGGAAGTGATGGAAGGAATCATGAAGATAGCTTGGGAAAAAAATGTCTAGGCTGAAAGAGCAGCAAGTGCACAGACCAGCCTGCAGCATGCTTTGAGTGTTAGAATAAATAGCAAAGAGGCCAGTATGGTTGAGTATGGTCGTCAAGGGGAGTGCTAGGAATGAGATTAGAGATATATGGGAAGATTGATGAGAGTGGGATTAAGTGGGGCAGATTGTAGACTCTCATTGATGATAGTCAAGGACCTTGACATATACTAGGACTAACAAAACAGTAGAATGGTTTGGACAGACTTGGACTGATTTATGTTTTCAAAGGGTCACGTCTGCTGCTCTACTGAGAATTGACTGTAGTAGTGTAACTATACGATCAAGGAGTCCTGTAATGATTATTTTTACTAAAGTAATTACAGTGATGGTACTGAGAAGATGTGGCATTGGAAATATTTTGGAGACAGAGATGATTGGATGTGCTGATGGATTGAATATGGGGTGAAAAAAAGAGTCAAGGATGATTCCAATGCTTTTAGCTTGATTGGTTATTTTAAGGTTAAATTAATTAATCCATGCAAAACAGTTGGAACAGTGCCTGAAAAGTGCTCTGTGAGGGCCAGCTATCATAGTATTATTGGACAAGATGTGGTGGAAGGCAGTGTTAGCTTCATATTTTTTGCTTATAGTCATTTTCTAAATAATCTGACAAAAGCTAGTACCCTCTGAAGTTTCCTTAGTACCTTCATCTCAGGTTGATTTCAGTATTCCAGGCAGTGTCATGAGTACAAGAAACCTCTTTATCCATAAGGAATAGTAATCACTATTTCATAGGACTTTTTTAAGTTACAAAGGGGCACATTTGTATGATTTATAGAAGAGTGTTAAAGAATTGGTCACCAGCTTATGCCATTATTGAGAAGTGGTGGAATTTCTAAAAGGTAAGGTCTAGTGGGAGGCCTTCTGGTCATTGGGGATATGCCCTCAAGGGAGGCAATGGGACCCAGATCTCTTCCTCTTTCTCTCTTTTGCATCCTGCCAATAAAGTGATTGGATTTGCCCCACTATAACCCCACACCCTGTCATGATGCGTTCCTCCCTTGCCACAGATCCAAAAGCAATAGGGTCAACAAAACATGGGCTGAATATAAATATTTCCTGTATATACATTTGTTATCTTAGGTATTTTGTTTCAGTAATGGAATGCTGACAACACAACAGATGCTCAGTAAAGGCTATCCCTGACCACCTTCTAGACTCTTGATTTTGAAATTTTCTGTGTCCCAGTAGCATCTGCATCACTTGGGAGCTCTGTTAGAAAGTCAAAATTTTGGCCCCCACAGCAGAGCTACTAAATCAGAATTTGTGTTATTAATAAAATCCCTAAGTGATTCTGTGTATATATTAACATGTAAAAAGCACTGTTCTATAGTTTCAAGGTCATCTATTCTAAGAATCTCTTTAGGTTACAAAGGCTGAGAGAGAAAGACACTCACTTGATTTTTACCCATGCAGTTAATTTTGCCAAGACTCCTAAATCCAAAGCCAGGGTTCTTTGGGCTGACTGTAAGCCAGATCTGGATAGCACAAGATGGAGAAAAAGCAAAGAGCCCCTCTTTTGTGAAAGAGTCCACTCTCTGGGAGATAAAGCTGAGTTTTCCACCTGTAACTCTTCATTTGCCTCCTCTGGGAAGAATTAAGAGTTACACAGCACAACTATTTTCATTTTAATCTCACAGATATAAGGACTCTAAATTGCTTATGTGTGTGTGTGTGTGTGTGTATTATTTATATCTAATAAACATGTGTGTTATATTCTATGTCCCACTCATTGTTCTAATTTTCTTATATTTATTAACCCTATTTTTATATAAATTTATGCACTCCCCCAAATAATCCCAAGGAAGAGATTATTATTGTATCCATTTTATAAATTAATATGTTAAGATACAAAGTGGTTAAATAACTTGCTGGAGGTCACACAACAAGTAAGGAGCAGAGTTGAAATTACAACTCTGGCAATTCTCTTTCTACGCCTGAGCTCACAACAGCAGTCTAAATGATGACCACATTCTGGTCTGATTTTTATTTTTTTGATACTGGGGTTGAACCCAGAGGTGATTAACCATTGAGCATCATCCCTAGCCCTTTTTACTTTTTATTTTGAGATAGGGTCTCACTAAGTTGCTTAGAGCCTTTCTAAGTTCTCCTTTTTCCTGTACCCCAGTGCCCTTCTACCCTGTATCCCATAGTTTAGCCCTTTTTTGATTTTGTCTCAAAGACTTAGTTTTCTTAAGCAATTTTTGTTTCACACAAAATTGAGAGGAAGCTACAGAAATTTTCTATTTACTCACTATCCCCACAAAAGCATAGCTTCATGCATTTTATACTGCTTATTGTTCTTGTGTCTAGTCTGTCCTGTCTAAACCCTCTTCAAGTTCTTCAAGGTCAGGGACAACGTCCCAGGATTTCCCCACTGCTGCCAGCGAAATCATAAACTTATAAACTCCCAAAGGGTGATTATTAGAATGACCCTTAGAGACTAGGTAGTCAACCCTCTTCCCTGTACGGAGACCTAGGGCTCCACAAAGGCGAAGGGTGTGCAGAAAGTCAGAGCCAAGTCCAGAAGTCAGTTTTCCTTAATTTTCAGTGGTCTTTCCCCAGCTTCAGGTTACTTCTCCTCCTCCAGTCAAAGTTTTCTGAAGCGATTTTTTTTTTAAGGTAGGATCAGAGCTGGGAAGTAGCTATTCCGTGTGTCTAAAAATCCTTACGTTTGCAACACTAAGTTTGCCTGTCAATCTCCAGCCTTGCTAACTCATGCACAAAACTTTGAAGAGCGGAGCTCCATTTAGCTGCCTCCAACCACTTGACCCTCCCTCCTTTCCCACAGACTGGGCTGAACCAAACTCCCTGGCCCTCTGCCGTCTCGCCCCCGCTTCAGTCCCAGGAGCTTTGCAACTCCAGCCCAATCAGTGGCTCGGTCACTGTTTACCCCCCAGACTCACAGTGTCCTTTTCGGGGGCGGGGTTTCTTTGCATAGCCACGCCTAGACACATCAGATAATCCAATAGCTGCCCCGGAAACCTCACAGGGGCGGGGGAAGTAGGCTTAGCATGAAAGGAATAGAGGGTGGATTTGATCCGCTGTTGCTACACGTGGATATGAAATGAGTGGAGCGGAGCTTTGATAGCAACGGATTTCATCTACTGTGAGTGCGATATGCTTGCTGGGGACTGAGGGGCAGGGGCTGAGCGGGATGTTTGCTCTGCTGAGGTGCGTTTGTCTGGGAATTCCATTGTTGTGATTGCAAGATCCATCCTTCCATCCGTTACTGGGCACGTGTGGGAGCACACCCTGGAGTGGCAAGCCGGCCGAAACCTGTGGCATTTAGGTTTGGAAGTACAGGACGAGGTCAGGATTTCCATGCTTGTGTGCTGCAAAGTCAGAATGGTTGGAAAGGCATCCCCTGGCTCTCTACCAGTTCATCCGTTTGTACAGGGAACACTATCTGAAGTGCCAGGAACTTAGGCTGATATTCTTACAGCCTTAGCGAATACCCCGCTGTAAGAGCCTTCTTACTGGACCTGGATGGCCACTGGGAACATGCCCGGACTTGTCAAACCACCTTGAGCATCTGGGCTTGGGAGATAAGGAAGAGGAGGAGGCTGGGAGTTAGCAGAAGGGAGGAGGGGGTGGATCAGATATGTGCAGCATCCCTGAGGGAAGCTAAACTGCTGGCCCACCCACGTGGTCCCTGGGCAAGTCAGGGCTTGTGTAAAGAGCATGCTGGCTCTGTATGGGGGCTTTCAGTCCACCCCCTCACCCGCGCGCCTGGGTTTCACTTGATCCCTCACTCCTGGAAGCTGAGCCCAGGGCAGTGATATTTTGATCCTGCCTCACCCCAAACACTGGCCAAAGCCCAGGCAGCTGTGAGAACTGGGGGGACAAGAAGAGACCCGCCAGAGAACAGGCTGGGAAAATAGACTGAAGGGTCTGATTTGGACAGGTGTTGGTAGCACTGGCCAATGTCATACAGGGTAGCGGGGGTAGAGATGTGTGGAACATCTCCTCTAGATAACTCTCCTGACCCTTCCTTCACTTCAATATTCCTTCAATTTAACTTAACAACCTTATTAAGGACTTACTCTGGGCCATCAAGTTTGAGACAGTGAGAAGTGCAAAATCTAGGCTGTGGCCAATAGGGCTTGTCAGGCTCATCATGGGTACAAGAACCCAAGTAAATATAATAGAAGATAGATCTTTAAGGAGTAAAGTGCTCTGAGGTTCTCAAGTAAGGATCCTATCAACTTGAGTTAGAAAAAAATCTGAGAACCTTTTGGATTGTTTTTTGAAATAATAACACCTGTCAGCACTCCAGAGGCAAACTCTTTGGATTCAGATTCCATCCCCACCATTTATTAACTGGTGTGCCCTTGAACAAACAGAATTACTTCCCCCTCTCTGAGCTTTAGTAAACTCCAGGCTAAAGTGGAGATAATAATAGCACCTACCTCATTGGGTTGTTGTGAGGATTAAATGAGATAATCCATGGTAAAATACTTGCACATGCTTAGCACAGTGGCTGGCCCAAAATAAGCACTCAATAAATGTTAACTATTATTATTTAAGCTAGACCGTGGAGTACAGATAGGATTTCAACAGGTGGAGAATAGGAGAGAGGGCAGTTTAAGCAAAGAAAACAACAGGAACAACTGCTTGAAGACAGGGAAGCTTGGAGCACGTGAAAAGAACACCAGCTGAGATGGATTTTAACTTACAATGAGGAGAAAAGTGGAAGTTAAAGTTGCCATGTTATATTGGTGGTAAACCACAAAAGACTTTGGATATTTCAGTTTCAATTTGATTTGGCAGACAGTGGATAGCTATTAAGAGTTTCTGAGCTAAAGAAAAACAGATATGTACTATAGGAAGAATGATCTTATGAACATAAGTCAGCCATATTGGAATAGAAGAAATCAAGAGGTGGATAAACTATATACAGAGAGGGAACAAGGCCTTGGAGCTGAGGTGGTGGCTGTGGGACTGGAAAGGAGGCAGTTCATTTATCAAGGTATCACATAAGTTGAATCTTCAGAAATTTGAAGTTGATAAATTATATGGGCTTAAAAAAGAACAGTGTGAGATTCAGAATCTCTTGGATTCTGCTCTCTTCCCTGCTCTTTGAAAGACCCATTCCATTCAAGGAAAGCCTTGACTGTTAAAGGTTTTCCCTTTTGGTAATCTGGACTTGGTTTACCTATGACTTGACCCTAGATGTCCTAATTATTCTCTCTGGGACCACCCAGAGCAGTCTTCTCTTTATCTTCCTTGAGAGGTCTTCAAAGATCTGAAGAGCAGAGGCCAGATTACCTACATTTTCTCTCCCTAGGTCAAAACACTCAAATTGCTTCCATTTCTCACATGACATGGAGTCAAATCAGATATGTGTCTGAGGTTTTGAATTATTTAAATTGGGGTGGTAACACCTTCATAATGATGTGGAACACTGCGAAAGTAACATGATGAGTGAATGTGAGAAAAAAATTATTATGTATGTTTTAAACCATAATCCCAATGACACCTCAACCCAACTAGGGAAGGTAGAGAAATGAAACTTGCCAGATAGTTAGTGTGTGTCTGAGCCAAGATTGGAATCACTTTTTTTTAACATCAAGTTTTGTTTGTTTGTTTTTTTGATTTTCAGTAGCTATTTGGGTTTATGGTGATAGCTAAGCAATTAAATCAGCTCTGGCACTAGAGAAGGAGGCAAGAGGAAGTAAGATCCTCCAATCAATCACCTTATGCTAGCCATTCCTTTGAAAGTTCTCTTGAAACCATTCAGGGAACAAAGTTCCTAGACCTAGGGGAAAGGCCTGTGACTGGCCACATGACTCTCCTCCGATGTCTTATTGACCTGCTCCACTTGAATGCCTTCTGAAGATGGTGAGACATCTTTTGGAGCTATTTTTCAGAGCTAAAGCTTAATTTTGAAGCAGATGATTTTTTTTGCTCTCTTTCTGAAAATCCATGTATTTTCCCTTTGGGAGCTTAACAGGAAGGATATAGGTTATTCTTGCCATCAGTCTATAAAAGGACCGTAACTATTCTGTGCTTCTGGGAGATATGAGGATGGCCATAATCTGTCTTGGATTAGAGTTAACAGTATATATTCTCAATTTCCCCACCAGACATGATTTGCTACAGGTGGAAACCTCTGGTTTTCCCTCCTGTACTAAGTTCTAATAGAATTCCTAGCATAGAAGGCACTTATCAAGTGAGTTTTGAGTGACTCGAAATCCATCCTGGAGTGTTAACAGGTATTATGTCCCCCAAGTATCCCCAAAAGTCATCATACCATTCTCACAAATAAAAGAATTGCCATGTAATATATGGTGGAATTAAGCAGTAACATGTCATTGCTTCCAGGAGGTTGTTAGTCACCATGGTGGATGAGCCAAAAGAGTGGGCAGCACTGCTTCCCTTCCATGAGCCACCTTTCCCTGACCCAGTCCACCCTTTGGATTTGTTCTGTTTAGGGTAAAATGAGCCAATGTTAGGTTGTGGGTGTGAAGACAAGAAACTGAAGCCTTGGAAACATGGTCACTGAGGAATCAATCCAGAAGCTAGGCCCATTTCTCTCTTTATGTATGGGAAATAAACAAGCCACTGGTCCTGAACATGGAGACTTGGATTTTAGTCCCAACTCTGCCACTAACCAACTATGTGACTTTGGGAAAATTCTATTCCTTCTCTAAGCCTCAGTTTCTCCATCTGGACCATAAGGGAATTGAGTTAGTTTATACTGAAGAATCCTTTTAGAATTCTGTGACTCTATATTTCTAATTGTTTAATAGTTTGAAAAGTTTAAACAGTTTTCAAAGAGAAGGAAAAAATATATTAGAATGTGCTGTTTTGTGAGTACTGAGCTGCCTGTTACTAAAGGAGTTCAAGCAGAAATAGATGGGATTCCTTTACTGGGTGACAAGCAGCTGGGACTAAGATGAGTTTTAAACTCACTTTGACTCTAGATTGTCAGAGGCTGGAAATTATTTCAGAGAATGTGTATTTACATATGAAACAACAAGTTTCTTCTTTTCAGTTTCACCTTACCCTCTCAAACTCACTGTGTTATATTTCTTTCTTCCTTAGACTTCTTTTTAAAGGGCAATAATATTTTGGCAGAAGTATCACATCCTGTACAAATAGGTCTCATTCTATGGGTTTATTCACCATGTCTTACCATAAGGATGTTTGTTGCCCTGGGTTTTATGCAAATACCCTCCTTCTTTAGGATGGCCTATGAGGAAGGTATGGAATAAATGAATTTGGATTGTTAGGGGGAAAAAGGGATTGTTTTTATTGCTATATTCAGAGAGATACAATCATTCTAGATTGCTTGGTAAATTAGGGTGGAGACAATGTGGGGCAAGACCAAAAAATTAATAGAAATCAGAAATTAGAACACTCGACTGAATTTTGTCCAGTTCCCAGCTTTGCAAAGAAATGAATTCAAGTCCCAGCTGGGACAACTCAGCCAAAAGCCTCCTTGGGAAGTTAATGAATCTCCACTCCCAGTACTGCTGGTGGAGTAACTAATTTTTGATGATACAATAATTTCATGGTGTCTTATGGTGGTCAGTACACAAATAAGTGACTCACTTTGGCTAGGGTGACAGTAGAGCAAAGTGGAGGCTTTGAGTTTTGGCTAAATGTTGGTCTGGCCTGAGGCTTGTCTCCAGTGCCCTTTGCTCCCAAGTTCTGGGTGGGATAATAACAACAATCATAGCAACTCCTCACATGTGTAACACAATCAGGAGTTTCCAGAGTACTCTCACATACATTATCTCATTTTTCCCTGGAACATCATACAGGGTATTTTTGGTGTCTTTGCTCCCACTAGGGAAGATTGTCTCAACAATCATTAAAAGGATATTTCTCCTTATAATCAGCTCAATGTTTATTGGTCTTAATTTCATCCCATTTGTTTTGTTAATTATGTCTATATTTTCAGTTGCACAATTCTTTTTCTCCTTTTAAAAAGTCTTTTTCACTCATTGCCAGATTCTAACCAAATATTTATATATTTTAGCTTTTACTTTTACTTAATTTACAGTGCTAAGCTCCATTTGTCTTTTGAGGTTTGTGCTTTCTTTGCAGTGTGTGTGTGTGTGTGTGTGTGTGTGTGTGTGTATTTTGAAAAAGAAGCACTTGACTCATATGGTTAGTGTTTGCCTTTGGTGAGTGAAAATGGACAGTTCAATTGGTTATTAATTCATTCTGTACTGTGACAACTTCTTTTAATATGATTATTTTTTTCTTTTCTCCCCCAGCTGGGACATTACTTCTCACTTTGTACACTGGAATAAAAGACACAGCAAACAGGTGAGGTTTCTTTAATTTTGCACCAGCTCCCTTCATTTACTCTTGTTGTTATGCTAATCCTGATTTAGCTGGACCAGATGTTACTATCACTAACAGTTAAAATTCTTCAGCCATTTGGAAATAGAGAGTGAAATCTGTTAAAAACTGTAATAACCACCTCTGAGTTATTTCTATTCCAGGCACATATTTTAGCATACTTGAACATAAAAATGCAATTTACTTTCATCACACACACACACATGAAGTAAACTTAAAATAACATATCCCCAGTCCTGAACACTCCTCCACCTCCTTATATTCACAACAGCTGACACTATTTCTTACCCTAATTTCTTCAAAGTTTGTCATTTACTATCTTTATTATCCTGTCCCGTTTCTGTTCTTTCTTCCCTGTCTTACCCTACTTGTTTACCAATTGTTATTCCTCTTCTATAATCAAATATGGGTGTCACTCAATGTTTTGTTCTTAGCATTCTTCTTTACCCACCTGATCCTCTGCCACAATTTACCTAGACCAGTGGTGTGTGTGTGTGTGTGTGTGTGCGCGCGCGCATGTGTGTGTGGCTGGGGATTGAACCTAGGGCTTTGTGCATGCAAGGCAAGCACTCTACCAACTGAGCTATATCCCAATCCCAAAGCCAATGGTTCTTAAACCCCAGAGGTTTTGATTTATTAAGTCTTGGGAACTGGTATTTTTTAAAAAGTCTCACAGAATTGATTTCTGATATGAAGTCATGAGCAAGCATGACTATTCTGGTCTTATACACATGACTTGTCTGTAACTCCAAACTATATATGTTCTATATACTTTAGTTGCCTGCTGGACATGACCATTGCAATGTTCTTCTGTCCCCTCCAACTCTTCATATTTAGTAAGATTGAAAAACAGTGTATTACCTTTTTTCCTACCAAGCAAGTCCCCCACAATCTTCATGACCCTGGGATTCTTATGGTTTCCCATCCAGCAACTCCCAGAAATTTCTCTAGCTAATATCTTTTTCTTGGTGCTCACTTTGTAAGGTCTATATCTCCTAATGCCACTTCCTCTCTATTTCTATTGCTACCACCTTTGTCCTGGCCCTCTTATCTAAGGCTTGGATCGTAATCCTGTCAAACCATTATTTAAAGCACAATCAAATTAGTATTCAAAAATGCATTTTTTTGGCCCACACAAAATATCACTGAAGAAAAATTAAATTTCAGTGAAGGCTGGGAAGATCTCTATTCCCTATTTTAGTTCAATACTACCTTGGAAAGCATGTCTCATTCATAGGCCCTAAATTATCTTTGAATACTTCTTACTAACTAAATAAACTTAATACTTTTTCCCTGAAACTCATTTTTTCTCTCTTTGTAAGTATGTTAATTGGTGATAATAATCCTTAGTTTCCTCCTTGGGTTATTGTGAAGGTCTTTTAAGTAAATCAATATGAAACCCCTCATGAACTGTGAAATCTTTCACTCAGGCAGAAGATTGTAACCTTTATTCTGTAGATTTCCACCATTTGCTCATCAAACCAGTATTTATTTAGTGTTCTATATGCCATGTACTGTTCTAATCACCAAATATGAAGTAGTGAACATGGCAGGCATCCCATCTCATGGTGTTTACATTCTAGTTAGGGAAAGCACAGACAATAAAAATAATCAAAATATTTGACAGGCCAGAAGGTCATAAGTGCTATAGGGGATAATAAAACAGGAAAAGGGGATAAGTAGTATGGTAGGAAGTTGCAATTTTAAAATAGTGGTCAGAAAGGCCTTACCAAGATAATGTTACAAGGACAAAGAACTGAAGAGGTTAAGGCACTGGTCATGGGCAAGGATATTCCTGGCTTGAGCAGGTGTGACGGGCCTAAGGTGAGAGCATTCCTAGCAAATTTGAAGAATAGGAAGGTGGCCAGCATGCCTGCAGTGAAGAAAGTAAGGAGAGCAGGGGCCAAAGAAGTAATTGAGGAAGTTGAGGTAGGCAAATTGTCCAAGGCCTCAACATTCATTGGGGGCACTTGACTTTCATGAGTGGAAGTAGGAGTTGCTAATGGAATTAGAAGTTGGAGATGACATGATGTAGCATATTTTAAAATATTCATACCACTTTAATCCCCTTTACCTTTCTCATTTTTTTAGACCCCCGAAAAAAATGGGTATGACACAGGTTACTTCTCCATAAAATTCCTTCTGTTATATGGGGAATGGGTAAACCTTTTATGACTGCACCTTATATTCAGACAAAACAGACGTGGTCAGACCCAAAAGAGTCTCCTTATCAATATAATAGATTTAACTTTAACTACACATGGGAATCACCTGGGGAGCTGTATAAGTTCCAGATCTTCAGGTCACACTCCAGACTAATCACATCAGATTCTCAGGGTTGAATCCCAAGTATCAGTATATTCTGGAGCTCCCAAGATACAGCAAATAGCAAGCACCACTGGTTTAAGAGATTGGCTAAGCAAGCTCCCTCATGTTACAAACAGGAACCTCAGACCTGGCATTGGGTAGTCATATGCTCCTGATGGCAGAGCTGGGCCTGGGACCATTCACCATACTGACTTGAAACAGGAAATATAAAATTCACAAACAATGGGGCTGGAAGAAGATGTTTGGTAGTTTGGAAGTAGCTTATGAACAAGAGAAGGTTGGGATAGGAGTGACTGTTGGCCAACCCAGAAAGGGGAAGGCTGACAGCCACCAATAAATGGTAAAGCAACATCTGGCTGATAGGTCCAACATCGGAAAATTATGAAGGCATTGTACTGATAAGAAATTTGATTTTCAAGAAAGGAGTATCCTCAAGGCCAGGTGGAGCAACTGCCTTGATTTTGCCAGTCCTGTGCATGTGGGTGGGTGAGTGGGCTCACAGGAGAGGAATGGGCAGGGCATGGACCAGCTGCTGTCTTCCTCACCCTTTCTAATCCCAGACCTTCTGCACTGTCCAGGCAAAGCAAATATCCTGAAGTCCTGAGTTCTTAATTTAGATTTGTCATCCTGTTCTGCCTACCCATCCTAGATAGAGAGGGCATGTTTCACTCCATAGGCATGTGTGCAAGTTGAGAAGAGCAGCAGCCGCAAGCTGTGGCCAGAGGCAGCTGCACCCCCAGCGCCTGAGCACCTCACATCCAGCAGAAACTTGGCCAGAAGCAATTATTCAGGGCACAATGAGCTAATGTGGGGATTATCATTAATGTCAGCCCTCATTGCTTCTCCTCTTTCCTGTCTGCTACATTCTTACTCTTCTAGGTTATCTTTTGGGGAACCAGGACAGAGGTAATGGGCAGGGACAGCATCCACATGACAAAGGCCAAATAAAGATACACTAGTCATGTGGCCACTTGTCAGCTCTCCTGATATATATATATATATATATATATATATATATATATATATATATATATAATTAACCAGATAGGTTTGGATTAAACAAAACATTACACTTAAAGGCACATAAAAGAATATTCATTGCAGCTTTCATTTTTTTCTTTTTCCTTTTCCTTTTTTTATATTTTGGGGGTAACTTAGACAAGGTGTATTGGAAAAGTATAGGATAATTCACAATATTAAACAAAAAATGAAAGAACCGTCATTTCTAAAAAATGAGATATAATTCACATATTAAAAAATTATCCTTTTTAAGTGTATAGAGTTTACTCAGTTTACTCAGTTTTGGTAATTCATACAACCATCATACAACCATTACTCCTCTCTAATCCCAGGTCATTTTATCACTACATAAGAAATTCACATCCATTAATCACTCATTCCTTCCTTCCTCTAATCCCTGGAAAACACTAAATCTACTTCCTTTCTATGGATTGCCTTTTCTGAACTTTTTATATAAATGAAATCATATAATATTTGCCCTTTTGTGTGTGACTTCTGTCACTTAGCAAAATGTTTTCAAGGTTCGTCCACATTATTGCACCTATTAAGCACTTTATGTTTAGTTTAGTTTAGTTTAGTTTTGTTGTACAGGGAATGAACCCAGGGGTGCTTAACCACTGACCTACATCCCCATCCTTTTTTTAGTTTTGAATTTGACACAGGGCCTCACTAAGTTGCTGAGGCTGGCTTTGAATTTTTGATCTTCCTGCCTCAGCCTCCTGAGCCTCAGGGATTATAGGCATGAGCTACTGTGCCTGGCTTTGTGGATTTTCACTTTTGCTGAATAATTTTTCATTGCATGGATAGACCAAGTTTTGTCTATCTGCTTATCATTTTAATTGACATTTGGGGATTTGTCTGCTTTTGTCTATTATGAATAATGCTTCTAGGAATATTCCTATATGAATTTAACATGTGCTTTCAATTCTTTGGGGTTTATACTTAGGAATGGAATTGATGAGTCATGTAGTAACTCTATATTTAACACTTTGAGAAAGAAAAAAATATACATTTTCTAAAGGGGTATCACCATGTTACATCTCACAAGCCTTATATCAGGGTTCCAATTTCTCTACATCCTTGACAACAACACTTCTTTGTCCAATCTTTTTATAGCCAGCATAGTGCACATAAAGTGATACTTTCTTACAGTTTTAATTTTTTAATCTTTATTTATTTATTTTTATGTGGTTCTGAGGATCGAACCCAGGGCCTCATGTGTATGAGGCAAGCACTCTACCACTGAGTCACAACCCTGGCCCTCTTGCAGTTTTAATTTGTGTTCCCCTTATTATTAATGATACTGAGCATATTTTCATATGCTGAGTGGCATTTTTATATTTCTTGGATTAACATCTGTTTCAATACTTTACCCACTTTAAATTGTGTTGTCTGTTTTAGTTGTAAGTGTTCTTGGTATATTCTAGTTGCAAATCTCCTATCAGGTACAGGATTTGCAAATTTTTGTTTCCCATTATGTGAGTTGTCTTCTAATTTCTTTTCACTTTTTAATTTTCTAAACATTTTATTAGTATTTTAATTATAATGCATTAACTATAAATATTAATAATGTTCAGTGTGATATTTCAACACATGTAAACAGTGTCAACTAATCAAATCCAGCCACTCATTATGTCATCTTCCCTCCTCGTTCCTAATATCTTTATAGTGTCCTTTGAAGCAGAAAAGTTCTGAATTTTTGAATTCTAAATTTAAGCATAAATTAATTTTTCTTCTTTTTCTTGTGCTTTTGGTGTTATAGCTAGAAACTATTACCTAATCCAAGGTCATAAATATTTACACTTACATTTTCTTAGAAGAAAACAATTAAAAATTACAGAATTTTTAAATGTTTCTTACTAGAAAAGTTTTATAATCCAGAAACAAGGGTGTATATTGTATTATTTAATTTATATGGAGTTCAAGGTCAGGTAAAAATAATCATAGTGACAGAAACCCAGAGGAGTAATTACCTGGAGATAGGGTTGACTGGAAAAGGGGCTTGAGGGTGGCTGGCTGAGATAATGAAAAGGTTCTGTATCTTTATCTGTGTAGTGTTTCCACGAGTATATGCATATGTAAAAATTTATCCGTTTGCTTCATATTTATGGATATATGTGGTATGTTAATAAAAAACAGTCCCAGTATGTGACCTACATGACGTTTCTACAGCACTTCCACATTATCCGTGATGTCCAAACTACTCTTAAACATTATACAGGTAGGATAGAAATATCCCCATTTTATGGATGAAGAAACTGAGTGAGCTTCCCAAACTTCAGTGGGGAATTTCTGTTGAGGATAGAGTTGGAATTCCTGTCATAAACCATAGACTTTTGTCCACTGCAACTATCTGGGCTTTGTTCATTATCATTTCCTTTCCTGTTCTTTTCTTGAGTTGTTGGCAAGTTAGAGGCAATTTTTCAAGATGTAACCTGCAAACAGTACAGTTAAGTGAGTGGAAGTCTTCGCAGAAGAACTCTAGAATGTATCATACTCAAAGGGAGGAGAAAATTGATGCCTGATCCTTACCTTATTTCCCTGCCCCACACTAATGTAGTGATAGAAATAATAGAAGGAGAACAAAATCAGATGTCAGAGTTGGAGTGAAAAAAATTTTTGAGCCTCAGATTGTAGAAGTGGGAGGGATTGTTCTGTTGAAAATGATCTGCTGTTCAACAGAGTCTCTAATGACATCCTCACTTATCTATAAATCAAATTTTATTTCTTTTGCACTTTCATTTCAAAGGCAATTGTCTCAGAAAGGTTTTCAAACTCTTTTCAACCAAGTTCACCCTGTACAAAATATCTTGATCAAAAATATCCAGCAAATACTGAGAACAATTTTCCTTTTAGTCAAAGTGACTTAGGTACTGAAGGTATTATGGGGAATCTTGTCCTTAAGCTTTAAGTCACTAATGGCAGCAGTTAGTAAGGAGGAAGATGCTATAATGACACTAGTGTCTTAGGCATGGTCTTGGTGCTCCAGCTTCGTGCTTTGTGCTGGGGTGGGTCAATGTAAAAGAAATGGACGCCTTTCCCTTTTCTTCCCTACAAATCTGAAGAGAGGCCAGTGTACATTGCTCATAGTGTAACCCCACCCTTCTGAAGGGGATGGGGAAAAGGACCCCTCTAAACCAGGGAAGATTTGGAAGAGAACCTACTAATTATCAATTGTCTCATAAGTGCCAAGCCCTATACTAGGTCCTTTAACATGCATTATTGCATTTAATCCTCTAAAATAATCTATAAGGAAGGTATTATTTTATTTTATTTTTTACCTTTCAAAATGCTTTTTTTTTATTTGTGGAAACTATTATTTTAAATTGCCATTTTTACAGATGAAGAAACTGATTCCATGAAAGAAGGAACCATTTTTTGAGGACACATGACTACTAAATTGTAGAGTTGGAATTCAAACACAAGTCTGCATGTCACTAATTCAGATATTTGCTTTTTTCTTTTGATAGAATTATTAATCATTGTTTGAAAATGATTAATTTTCAAATTATCTGTGAGAAAAATAATCTAGGTAACTAAACACATGTGCATCTTTTACCATAGTCCTAGAAACAAAGCACATTGACAAGCTAACAAATAATAAGGACTGTTGAGGTACCACTCTTCCGGGTACTGGATATGAAATGGTCTCTACTCTGGGAATTTTATAGGTCTGTCTACAGTGCCAACTTAGAAGTTTGTGGGATTTAGCTGCATCTTTGGTGATACTCTAGAAGAATACCTAGCTACAGATACATGAGCAGCTGATTTTTCAAAACCTATTTATTCTTTGTTCTTTATCTTAAAATGAAAAGGCAGTTACATTTGTTGCAAGATACTGCCGACCACTGGAGAAAACTTGATATAAATTCTCACATTGTTCCAGGATAGTGAAATTTAACCCTTATTAAGCAGTTTTACCCATATGCTAACTTCTTCAGAATTGTCCAAGATCCATGTGATTTTATTCTCTTTAATAAAGGCAATTTCTTAAGCTTCTAATACAAGACAAATTAATTTATATGGTTTGAATTAAATGTTTGACAAAAATGAGAGGAAAATAAATATTTTTATTTATTCCCTAATTCCTTTGGGGATTTGGCAATAGGCCCACTTTGCCTAGGGAGAATCCCAAAACCAGGGTTATAGGGCTGTGTTAAGGTTCATGTTTATTAGGTAGGTAGGTGTCTTGAAACCAAACCAATAGTTTGCCCCAGACATTCCAAGGCCAGCAGCAGCTACCATGAAGATTTCAGATGCCTGTTTTGAGAGCTTATCTCAAAAAGTGGGTTGTTTTTTGGGCTCCTGCCAATATTTTCCTGTTTTTCTGGGCAAGAAAAGGATACAGGAGAGATTTCCAGACCAGTATGATGGCTTTATTCCCATGGTGCTGAAATACCTTGTCATAAGACTATATGAGACCAATGATGATTTTTGTGCTCAATGAGAAAGGTGGGTAGTAAGGAGAGGGGAGCGTGCCTCCAGAGGCTAACACTATGGGCAAAGTTATCAAACAAAAACAGGAGAGGATATCTTGTGCAAAAATGGATTGGATTTTGTAGGCCAATTCCCTCTAAATGAAAGAGTGGGAATAGCCCACTCCACATAGAGAAAAGTTTTACTGAAGCAAAAATGTTAGTCAGGATGTCTTACTCCTTCTCCATTGAAGACTCTTAGAGGAGTGTTGGCCTTTTTTAGGTACACATGTGCTGTCTTTTCTGATGAAGTACAAATTCAGGACTTTCAGTATTTGAGAAACCACCTGAAATTCACCATGGTATTCAATGAGTGCACAAAGGGACCTGAAAACACCTTGAACTTTAAGAAGAAAAAGCCTCATTTATCAATAGTTTTAGCCACATTCATTAAAATTCCTCTTTGTAGAAGACTACCTGTCTGAATACTTAACTGTGTCTTATTTTGTATAGTTCTTTAAGGCCTTCAGGATATTTTGATGAACCTGATCTCATTTAATCCCCTCAAGAGATATTTAATTGAGGTAAGGAATATACTGTGCCTTTTACTCAGATTAAGTAACTGAGGCCAGAAAAGATGAAATAATCCATTCAGATTATAGGTCGAAATGAAAGAGTCAAGTATGTTGATCGACCTTTTCACCTTGCTTGGGAATCTCCATTTTAGGGCTAAAAAAGCCCATGTCTTGGGAAACCTCTTAGTCCTGGTTAAACAAGGGTTATCCTTATCCTATAGACAAGATTAAAATCCATACATGTCAAATATAAGTACAATTCAAGTGCTATTGCCCCAGGCCATCTCTCTTCTAACATATCTCTGTTAAAATAATGTTCTGTTCTCTCTACACCTTAGTGCACAAGGATATTTGCATGATGGGTCATCTTCCCCTCCCTTTCTACCTAGGACAGGAGCAATGGCAGCTAATGGTCCTCAGAAGTACTGAAGACACTGTTGGCAAAGGAGGACCATGTTTTAGGATTGCCATCCATAAAATAAAGATGACAATCCTTATACTGATTCACTCACAGGGATTAATGTACAGATTAAATAATAAAGTATAATAATAACAGATGTAAATACTTTCCATACTATTAAAACACACATCAGAGATTGCAGTGTTTATGTCCCCCTGCCCAGACATAAGCCAACTACTTGTGTTATTCTATTTACCAGTTCAGTTCTTGGTAACATCACAACTGTGAAACTCTGGGAAAGTTCTTTGGCCTCTGTGCCTCAATTTCCTCATCTGAAAAATAGAGCAAATAATGATCTCTTATACAATTACTTAAGAATTGAACTATTACATATAAAGCATTTAGAAGATTTAGAGCTATATAAGCATTAGATGTTTTGTGCTGGCCTTCTTAGCCCCTCTAACTAAGAACATGAGATTAGATAACCCAGAAGTCAAGCATCATGGAAGCCACAACTTATCTTGCTATTCCTTCCCATTGTCTTCCTAGTTCTTGTGTTCTGTACCTACAGCCTTCTTACCATGGATTGCCAAGAAAATGAGTACCAGGACCAATGGGGACGGTGCGTCACATGCCAACAGTGTGGTCCTGGACAAGAGCTCTCCAAGGTAAGTCCTCCAAATTAGTGTACTGTTTTTTGACATCTTAGTAATCAGTCTCTCAACTTAGAGGGACCAAGATTAGGAGAGTCATTCCCAGCTATGACTGATCCAGTTCAGCAGATAAGACATGGAATCCAGAGAGTATGCATTAGTAGTCATTGTTTAGCAGGAAGTTAGCTAGAGGATCAGGTTACATGAGATAACAAGGTATATCTCAATATGAGATTATGGAATGCAGAGGATCAGGAGGATGGTTAAGCATTAGAGAAATCTGTCAACTAAAGAAAGAACTACCTACTTGGTATTCAGGAGCCAGATATTAGGTCTTGGGGATGGGAGTAGAAAGAAGAACCACAAAGGCTAAAGTGTATCCTCTGTCTAGAGGGTCTGGGTTACTGAGAAGGCTACACAAAAGAGGATTCAGGATTGAGGAACCAGAATAACTCTAGCATTCCAAATAGAGGTAAGATCATAACAAAATGACCAGCAAAGCAGAGATGATAAGTGCAAGGATGGAGTTGCTCAATTGTTCCTACTGTAGGTCTCTTGTTGGTCCCTGAACTAGGGGTGATATTAAATTTGGGCTTCAGCTAGAGACTGGGAGAAAATAGACAGCAGTTTTTCTAGACTCACATTTTGTTTTATGCAAACATGGTTGTTGGCACCATGGATATGCACAATAGACAAATGTGTTTTCTCTCATGAACCTTGGATTTGTATTAGTGATACAAATAAAATTGAGATACATATATAGATAAATAAAGAATATAGACCTGAATCTATGGCAAGAATTAATTAAAGTAGGATGATTTAATACTGAGTGACTAGGTGGCCAGGGAAGGACTCCCTAAGCCTATGCTTTCTGGTAAGAGGATATGGCTAGTGTAGTCCTAAGATGAAAATGAGCAGGGTATGTTCAGGGAAGAAGGTTTATGCATCTATTGTATGGTGAGTGAGAGGGACAGTTGTATATAGTGAGAGAGGGGGACATATTAGTAAAAACATGTGGGGACCTGAAGTCTATGATGAGAAATTATCTTTTTTCCTAAGTGCACTAAGAACGCTTTGGAGGGTTCTGAATAGGAGAGTAGCATCATCCTGTGTCTGAAAGAAAATAAAGTGATTATGTAGCCCACATTCTTCCTACCTCTGTACTTAAAAAAATGAAGAGAATAAGGCTCAGGTATATCAAGGGTATAAACATTAATTCTAATTTTATTTATTTTTATTATTAGAGATTTCCAGTTAAAAACATTAGTTGGGTTCATTTTTACAAAATCATATATGTAAGGTTTTTTTATTTCAATCCCTATTCCGTACTATATTTCCTTCTTCTCCTCCCTACCCCTACTGTATTTCCTCTGCTCTAACAAACTTCCTTTCACTCATTTTTTTTGATACTTTCTACATATATGTAAAGGTGAAATTCTCTTTGGTACATTTATGTATGTATATAATGTAATTTTGTTAAAATAATTTGATATTTCCACCACTTTCCTTTTCTTCCTCCTTCCCTCTCTTTACATATGAGATTGTGTCCCACAGTGGATGCCCCCATAGTCAATAAAGGGATTCAAGGACCAAGGAAAGTCCACCAGAAGTTAGGACGTGCTGGATATTAGAATGGATTCAATGGAAGAAGCTGCTTGCCTTGACAAAAATCTATTTCAAATACCTTCAAAACTCATGATAAAAAGCCTTACAAATTTTGATGTCATGTACATGACCATTAATTTAAAAGCCATCCATATTTACAAAGCTGAACTTCTTTAAGGGAAAAAATATATCTGTCAAACTGCTCTTACCAAGTGCTTAGAAAAGAAGCCCACCATGAAATGTACATTTGATTCAGCACCTCTATGACATTTACTTCAGCAACAGAAGAAAGCTATAGAAGAAGAATGAATTGTAATTTAAATGCTCCACTAAAAGCTTTATATATAAATAGCTTCTACCTGTCTAGTAGTTTGTACTAAGGAGCTCTCATGTGCATTACTTTATTTGCTTTTACAACAGTCCTATCAAGAAGGTATTATGAGCCCCATTTTATAGAAGAGACCACCAACATTCAAAGAGGTTGTGTGACTTGTACAAAATCACAATGGTACAGCAAAAATAAAAATATAAACTTTGGAGCCAGATACACCTGAGCTTGAGTCCCATCTTTGCTGTGGGCAAATGATTTTGCCTATGAACAAAATAGGGTGTTCTAAGTTTAAATAATATATTTATCAAAAGAAGACTTACAAATGGAAAATAGATATATAAAAATGCTCAACATGGGCTGTAGTTGTAGCTCAGTGATAGAGCACTTGCCTTGCAAGTGTGAGGCACTGTGTTTGATCCTAGGACCACATAAAAACAAATAAAGGCATTGAGTGCATATATACAACTAATTTTTTTAAAGGCTCAACATCACTAATCATTAGGGAAATGTAAATCAAAAATATGGTGAGATACACTATCTCAGTAAGAATGGCTATTATCAAAATGACTCAAGAAGCTGGGCATGGTGGTGCACGGTTGTAATTCCTCAACTCTGGAGGCTGAGGCAGGAGGATCATGAGTTCAAAGCCAGCCTCAGCAACTTAGCGAGGCACTTAGCAACTCAGCGAGTTCCTGTCTCTAAAATGAAATACAAAATAAGGCTGGGGATGTGACCCAGTAGTTAAGTGCCCTTGGGTTCAATCCCTGGTAACCCCCCCCCCCCAAAAAAAAAGACTCAAGATAGAAAGTGCTGGCAATAATGTGAAGAAAAGAGGACCTTGCAAACTGCTGTTAGGAATAAATATTAGTACAGTTTGAAATTTCTTACAAATGGAAAAATAGAACTAGCATATGATCCAACTACTGGCTATATATCCAAAAGAAATAAAATCAGTATGGTGAAAAGGCATCTGCATTTCAATGTTTACTGTAGCACTAGGCACAATAGACAAGAAATTGGAAACAACCTAAGTGTCCATCATCTGATGACCAGATAAAGAAAACGTGCTACATATAAAAAATAGAATACTATTAGACAATAAAAAAGAATGAAACTAGGCATGGTGGTGCACACCTGTAATCCCAGCAACTTGAGAAGCTGAAGCAGGAGGATTACAAGTTCAAAGCCAGCCTCAGCAACTTAATGAGGCCCTAAGTAACTCAGTGAGACCTTGTCTCTAAATAAAATTTTAAAAAGGGCTAGGAATATAGCTCAGTGTTTGAGTGCCCCTGAGTTCAATCCCTAGTATGTATGTATATATATATATATATATATATATATATATATATATATATGAAATTCTTTCATTTGTGTCAACATGGATGGACCTGGAGATAATTGTTTCATGTGAAATAAGTCAGGCACAGAAACACACTACGACTTGATCTCACTCATATGTGAAAATTTTTTTATCTAAAAAATTTGATCTCCTAGAAACTGATAGTAGAATGGTGGTTACCAGAGACTGGGGAAAATAGGAAAAGGGAGGGAAGCGGAGAGGTTGACCAATGGTTGTTTACTAAGTTACAGTTAGATAAGAGCAAGAAGTTCTGCTGTGCTATTGTGCAGTAAATGATTATAGATAATAATATATTGTACACTTCAAAAGCTAGAATAAAGGATTTTGAATGTTTTCATCATAAAGAAGTGATAAATGTTTGAGGAGATACATATGTTTAATGGATTTAAACAGTATACAATGTATCAGACAATAGTGTGCTACCCCATTAATATGTACAATGTTTATATTTTATGTGCTATTCAAAAATAAACTTAATGAGAAAAATTAGAAACAAACTTTTTATCAATATTTTTATCAATATATTTAGAGTGAAAAAATATGACATAAAGCTTCACACAATCTTACAATAAGCACATATGTAGGTAGTCTGGAGACAGGCACCCTTTTGGTTTGTTGGGCAGATCAACCATGTTATCAAGGATTCAGTCTTTTCATTCATATTGGGTACCTTCCTGTTTTGTCCTTATGTTTGTGACGTCATGGTTGCCACAACTCAAAGCATAACATCTTCACACCATAATCAAAGTCAGGAAGCAGGGATGGGGGGTCAAAATAGCTTGCCTTTATTTTCTGATTTTCCATTTTATCTTATGGTCCAGACCTTGGTGATACAGCTATCCCTAGCTAGAAGCCAAGACTGGGAAATGAGTATCAGTCCAACAGGAATGGGATAACCATGATTGACGAAGAGAGTTAAAAATTCCTTATTGAGGCTGGTCATTCTGCTATTTAGCATGAAATTGTTGTTCTGTTACGAAGGAGGAAGGTGACCAATGATATTTGGATAAATAGCTAGAAGCATCTGAGATGAAGTTTTTTTTCAGATACCTTTATTTATTTTAATATTTCACTTATGAATTATAAATATCACAGTAAATAAATCATTTCAGAAAATTAACACTGTCTCCTCAGGACATTTTCTAGAAGTTTAATTTCCAAGCTAAATACAATTTTAAGATTTTTGAGATATATTAGCAGATAACACTTCTGAAGTTTTTTACTAATTTCCATTACAATTGCATTTATTTTCAACAGTGCATAGAATTCCCATGTCCCAGAAGCCTAACCACAAATGAATAATGCATGTTCCCATTGTCTATTAATTTTATGCCTTCCTCTGTAATATTAAATTACTAATTTATGAGGACTTTATGAGAATTTTGTTTTTACTTTTTATATTTGATAGGGAAATATCCCAACATTTTTTGTTTGTCCATTTGCATTTCCAATTTTGTGAACTGTTTCTGATTGCTTCTTTTTCTATTCTGAATATTCATTGCTTATTGTTCATTCCCTACTCATGTAAGGCACCTGAATAGACAGACATATTGCAGAGTATTTTTAAAGTCCTTTTTATAATATAAATATGAATATATTTAAAATCAGAAATGGTTTTGAATTTTGTTTCATTCTACCATTATCTATGGATTTTTAATATAATTTTCCCTTTGTAATTTTAGATAACATAAAAATCAATACCCAAAATGAAAATGCTAT